AACAGCTGAAGCCTTTTTTTGTATACTTTATTGATCCCCGTGGAGAAATTCCTCTCTGCATTTAACCCACTCACTTAGTGAAGCAGTGGGCAGCCATTGGCTGCTCGGGGTACCTTGTTCAGGGGTACCTCAGGGGAATCGAAACCTCGCCCTCCGATCATGGGGACACCACTCTACTTACTGAGCTATTCCTGCCCCTAATGTTAATATTTACTTTTATTAGATCACCATGAAGTAAATATTATATATTATTATTTTAAATGATGCATCAGAAGCACTTTTACAGGAGAGACCAACCTGCTGCTGCAGCGACAGGAAAATATCAAAAACACAAAATACGACGTAAAATCAAACAAAAGAAGGAAAAACGTTCACAGAAGTCAAATGTAGAGAATCATCTTTTTTTAGTGAATGTACTCATAACTGTCCTGATTGAAAACAGTTGAAACTCCAAAGTGAAAAAGAAGAAAAGAAACAAACAGTCACATCTGAAAAGCTGCGACCATCAAATGTTCTTTCATTAAAAATCTCTCTGGTTCTTAAAAAACGATGAAACAGTTCAATAAACATCTGCGCTTTCAGCAAAAAGTTGCAGCAGGCAGTTTTCTGATCACACAGAAATCCCAGAAAGAGTTCAGAGGTACATGAGTTCACAGACTGTCGTCCAAACCTCTCCTCCTGTTTTCAGTCAACATTAACTGAAATAAACATAATTATTTATTTTCGACTTGCTCTGTTTAAACAAACATGCATCCATGTTTGTTTTCTCCGTCTAAACTCAGCAGAGCAGGAAGGACGACGTGAAAATCAAAGATGCTCCTTTACTCACGCGGCTCGCCACAGCAGCCGCCGCATGTTTGATCTGGCAGCGTTTTGTCCTTCCTGACACAAACCCAGAGGGATCGATCGTAACACAAATCATTATTCCGAGATATTTCCAGATCGGATCATGTAGTTTGACATAAACAGTCTGTCTTTATCTCGGTTTGTACTGAAGCCTCATGGGGAAAAAAGTCCTTTTTACTTTTTCCCAGAACAGGAAAAATCTTTTATTTGACTGTTCTTGTTCCTCTCAGGCGGAAGTCGTAAACAGCAGAAATAATAAAATGTAAACGCTGCTGTCCAGAGGATAAACATAGAGTCCGAGGCCCACGGCAGGCCCACCAGAGCCTGC